CGGGAATAGGCAAAGTCCATAAACAGTTCAAGTTGTTGGAGTAAAACCCAGGATATCCAGGAGAGGCAAATGATCCTGATGATCCGCTTAACGTTCCACCACATGCTGAGAAAAAAAACAAGGTGAAATTTGTAAAATGGCTCAATATCTCTGCACTGCGATTTATCAGTCAATAGAAAAAGTCGTGGAAGTATGTTTATCATACATGTTCATATTTACCAAATTATAAGAAACATCTATTGTCTCAATCTTAACTGTCACACTGATAAATATTCTTGACCTGTAGAAGTAATGTTTACTCTCTAACATCACTATTGTTCTCTTGATATGGATTTATGAAAGTAAGATTTGATGGTAGCTCACTCAAGTGTTACGCCACTGGCTTCCGTTGTCAGTCATTTGTGATATCACCGTCTCATCCCTCCCCCACAACCCTTGATATGAAGAGAATGAAGTAAGATCCGCCGCGAACTGGACATTCCGTGCCCTCGTCTTACTGAACCACGCCCTGTGTTCTGCCAGTGATCATGAGTGTTTAGGGCAGCTGAGGTAACAAAGTATCAGCTACATTTGACGTCTTTGTCCAAGACAGCGACATTACGAGTTTTCCTTAGCCGAAGATTTAAATAATGAAGATATTTTAACTTTCAAACCAACAAGTTAGCTTACCAGTGAAGGGTGGTTGTGTAGTCACTGTTAGAGGCGTTGTCCTTGCATTAACTGCGGTAGAAGAAGATCTGGGCAAGAGTGTTGACGCCGCGGTAACTGGAGGTAAAGTTGAACCGAGAATCATTTAGTTTGCCAACATTTTCCGACGTTTTGGAGCATTTTCCGAAAATTTCTCAAGAGTATCCGCCGAGAAACTAAATTCAAGGTAAAGTTAAATTAAATTAAGTTAAATTTATTAATGATCAATAATTGAGTTGTTGATCATTGACTTGAGATATCCAATGAACTTCGACAAAGATTGTCCTTGGGTCAACTTGAGGTTTCAGAACAATCTCCGGACATTTTGGATTGTTATCTGAAAATCCCCGAAAATTGTGTAGGGTTTGTTTATATTCCACCATGTACTGTTGGTAGTAAATTTGTCAAAATATGTAGCACAATTTGTATTTGATCAGTATTAATTAACTAACCTTCAATAGCCGGAATTAGTATTACGCCAGAACGAAGCCCTCTAAAAGTGTGTATTGGAAAGCGGCCTAGCGGCTCTACGTCACTGGTAAAATGGTAAGCATAGATAAGGAAAATTGGAACTCCTTGCTAGAAACCAAGACAAACAAAAACAGAAAAAATTTATCGTCACATATTCTTAACCAGCCTGCTGCATGAGAATTGTTCATTTTTTTTTTCTTCTTTTGATGGCGAAATGTTTGCTAATAACCTCGCACAATTCATCGACAAAAAGAAGTTGCAAGTAGGGACGTAATTTTAAAAATGTTTATTTGACTTACAGTCGTCGAGCGTTGTTAGAAAAATAATAACAATATGCACGGGCAGACAGAATCAGAAGATTGCGTTATTTTACCTCGATAGCAACGTCGTTTTGCTGATCTGCTGTGTTTCGCTGGCGATAAAACGCCAAAGTTGTTTTCCCGTTTTCTTCGCTGGAGTGAGTCAATACCCAGTCTTGATGTGGATCCAGAGGTGGTTGTGTAAACCCAATGGTGAAATAGTCCTGGAAGATCGAAAATAGCAAGTTAGTGAGCGATTTAATCACAAAACTACTGTAAGAATTAACTGAAGTTTACGGTACTATAGTAAAGGTGGATTATTATGTAGAACAAATAATATTGTAATTATTTTATGAATTAAATAAAAGAAGGTGGGAAAGTTATAGTTGGTGATATAGGAGGGAGGGGATGAGGGTGTTTATATTCTAAGCAGTAACAACAACAGGAACACAAACAAA